AAGCATCAGACAAGCTCAATGCATATAGTTGATTTTATTAAAACATGTAGGGTGTGTCTATATATGGAAAAAGTACTCATTTAAAAATGTCTACCAATCGATTGGTCGAAAGAAAAGACAACTCTCGGTCGACCGAGATATTTTTTTGTCGGGGACAGCCCAAGTTAAGTAGCGATGATATCCTTCGCCACTGTCATCTTACGACAGATATCTCGAACCAGTCATAACTATTCAACATCGTTTACGTTTCTTTACAGCAAATTACTTAGTTACATTATTGAATAAGTAACAAAGGAGTTTTGAAGTTGAGGGTGGAGTATTTATGAAGTTTGTCAATGAGGACGAAAACTAGCATAGTTCAGCTAGCCAGCTAGTTTAGCCAGGGACAACGAGCACCGGCCTAGTGCACATGTGCGCTAATTCAGTAGACGGATTGTCGTTTTTATGCCATGATATGAGGAGCTGGCAGCGAAAAGTTTGATTTAAACAATTCAGAAACAAATAAGATGACTTATGTTTAAGGAGAGCAACTCGACATACAATCCTGAAATCAAATGTAACTGTCAATAGTAAAACAAAGCTTAAAACGATATTTGAGTGAACCTGAATCCAGAAAATTGTGAATTCTCATCCGGACACGGTAGACTCCTCCCTCACCACTTTATAAAAGCCTGAATTGAGTCGGCCGGGAGAAGCAGCTGTGCCACAGAGCTGGAAGCCAGCCAGCATCGGTCACTGCAGAACCAGCCACGGAAACAGCAGAACAGGGCTGTCCCTGCCTGATCCTCGCTGCCAGGCGATTGGCTGTACCGGGTGGTCATGTGACCAGGTGCTGGCTGGATGTGCTTTCAGCATCGGACACAGTTGAGAGGGAGATGGGATGGAGGCTGTCACTGCTATCGAAATGGGGTAAGGGTTTTTCTTTGTCATTTATTGAAAAGGCCCCCGCTTCTCCTTTCTACAACGGACAAAAATGGAGAGACACATTTTTAAAAATTCTTTCTGTTAATGGGGATTAGGGGCAGGCAGGGAGCTCCTGGGGGAATAATGGTGTGTTTGTGTGAATAGCGAGGCGTAGCCGCTAAGCCTTTTGGAGGGAGAGAGAGAGGGAGAGACTTCTGCTTAGCCTAGCTACCGGTTATGCTCCAACAAAGCAGACGTGTCATTGTGGCTGTGCGATGCTGTCTTTCTTTGGACGCTGTAGGGTTGCTATGGGGTCAGTCTGACAGTGGCTGTGTCTTCTTTGTCTGTGTTGACGTCATCATTGGTTAATCCCTGGTTGTATTGTGCTGTGAAGGGCTGGTTTAGTTGGGTTGTGTGTGAGCTCACGCAACTAAGTGTCTGCCTACCTTTCCTTTGTGGTGTCAAGGGAAGGGCAATTGTCGCTCAGCAGCTGACTGCAGGGTTTTTCTGGTTTAGCTATCTGCTGGGGGGGGGGTGGTATCCATCCATACAGTGTCATACACACACACACACACCCCTTAACAGATTCACAGAAATCCTCATCCATCCAGTGCAGTGCTACGTTCACTGCCAGTGTCAGACGAAAGGTAAATGTGAGCGCCTGCCTGGTTGTTTTATTGTGTCAAGATGGAATCCTCATTTTGGAGAGGGGAAGACGTTAACACAGTGGGAAGGATGCAGAGAGAATTGCTCTGAAACAGAAACCATATTTGATGGACTGACGCAAGGAGGATCTGTCTTTTTCATTATACATTTTAATGCACCAGCAAGCATAAACCTGCAAAATGGATACCCAGAATTTGCCAATTTAAGGGGAGGATGCATTTTGAGAATATTGATGCAATATTCATGAGGTAGAAAGAGGATGCAGTCCTCTGTCCTCTCGTCTCTTCTTTCTCAGCCCCTGCTCTGTTGTTCTTTTCATTCATTCATTTGTTAATTCCCCTCTTTGCTTCTTCTCGCTCGCACCCCCCTCAAAGCCTTTTGTAGCCAAAATTTGACAGGTTTAGCCTATATGGTGCCATTAGCGGTTTGCTTTGTTCAATGTTGTGTTGCTTTGTTTTCTCTGTCTAGAGGTATTACTGACTGGTTTTTAGTGGGCTGAGTTCTGTGGGTATATCGCTACATGATGCAGAGGGAGAGGACATGGTAAGATTCTAGATTCTTTTTTTTTTACCCGCAAGTGTTGTGTATTGTGCGGTTACAGCCTGCACATTGTATCGGTTAAATGTAAAATGTTTAGTTTTCATCCATGGCCTAGCCTACATTTAATGCACACTAGTGTCTGACCGAGAAGAGCGATCAATGTTATCTACTAGCCTAATTTAAAATATCATTAGCCTAATATCTGGAGGAAATTAAGTTCTTGACATATAGGTTAAAACTGTACAGTAAGGGCAGGATAAGTAGCCTAATAGGAAATGGTGTGGTGATGACAAGGAGATCATGCAGATGGGTCTAATTGATAATACGATTATGAACTGATGTGGATGTTGACGTAATTGACAATGCAATTATGAAAATGATATAGGCCTACAGGCTTGTGTAATTTTTTATACAATTTGTGTAACAGTATCTGGCAGGAAGGTAGACTATCTATAACAGCCATATTCACTATAATACTATAGCATTTAATGTTGATATGACACTGGGGCACAGTAAAACGATCATTGTAGAATTGCAACCTCAATCTGTATCCCATCCCCCTTCAGAGTCAGCAGTTGTAGACACTGGCTGTTTAAATGATGATGGTGATGATAAGCTCTCTCTTTTATGGCGTAGGCTAGAATTGAATCTCCAAAATGGCTGCCAATTGAACTACCACAGTCTGCATCTGCCAACAGGGGCTTGTCTTTTGGCTCACCTTCTGCAGTTCTCCCCTGTATTGTAAATGCACGAAGTGGCAGTGTATCTAAAAAAAAAAAATGTTATTTTGGTTACCCCTTTGCATCAATAGATATAGAACCCTGATATATATTGTATATGTGCTCATTAGCCAATGCATTGACAGAACTCACAGGGTGGTTCTGGAATGCTGAATATTTGGTGGTTCTGGAATGCTGCCGAGTGTTCTTCTCAACCTGTCCTGTGTATAGGATCCAGCCTAGTGAGGGCAATATTGAAATTCTGGGACAGACTCACTGCCCAATCAACCCAGCCTAATTGACTCACTGAATTCGATTGGCACTTCATTGGATCTTTATCAAACAAATAATGTTACTCTAGTCTAGGTCACCAGGACATTGTGGCAAATGAACCAATACCATGGTTCTGAATTACTAATAGGGTACTGTGAAGTTGATTGATTAGTCAATGTCGACCAGTGGATAATGTAAGCCAGTGTTTAGGCTAGTTAATTAGGTCTGTATGCTCGTGCCGGAGTCTGATCTAGTGGTAACACTGCTGAAGAGTTCCAAAGAGTAAGCCCTCATGCCAAGGTCTTTGCTGATATTTAACATGTCACTCACTGATCATTTGTTAACCAAAGAGTGATAAATCTTCCACCTCAGTGATCCAGTTACTACTCATTGCCGCTTGGTTGCCTCCTACCCTCTCCATAATGGATGATCTAAAAATACTAACTTTTCCTCAGCAAGACGAACGAGTCTCCCTCCTCTGTCATGTAGAGTTGTCTTCACAGGGCTATAGGGGTCTCTGTGGCAAGTGAGTAATGGTGTTCCCTTAGCTGCCCAACTACATCTTCTGTCTTCTAGATCCCCTCTTCTCAGCTGATCTCAGAGAATCCCAGGTTAACACATTAGTAAACCACGGCCTGCCCTATTCATAGTAGATGCAATGCACGGTCTCTGTGGTGTGGTCCTTGCACGTGTTGGTTGCAGTAGATAGCAGAGATGTTTAGTTGCATTAACAAGGAGTATAGTGTAAACCGTGCCCATTTGGCCTAGGCTTAAATTGTACAGATGTGGTTAGTGAACGTGTGTGATATGGATTATCAGTGTTGTAGGATGTGCTTAATATTGAAAATATAAGGTTCTAATCTATTGGATTTTCAGGTGTTTAGGCTATACCATGTGCATTGAGATTTCAGTGGATGGATGTCAGTGGTAGTTGGCCATGAACCATTTGACAGGTGGGATGGCAAGAGATGGGATGGCACCGTTCTGCTCCGCCTGTAGCTTCACAGTGCTGGACTGGCCTTCTATGTCAGCTGGAGACTTTGACCTTGCATTTAATCCTATTTTATTCTGTCTTTTTTATCTTGCATCTAAACATTTTTTTAGCTAAAATGTAGCCTAATAACTACGCTATTATCGAACTGTTATCGTAATTACGGTGATCCACATTTTTTCCACTTCTTCCAACAACCGTTTCAGTCTGATCAAAAATTCAATGCAGGAAAGCTAGTCCAACCACTGACACGGCTTGCAAAATCTGCCCGGGCGTGAATTATTCACAAACCTAATGTTTTTAAAACCTGTGTGTGTGTGATAATTGCCCTCATCCCAAAGCCATATAAGGCATTTACGGCTCTTATTCTCTAGATCTTACCCTACTTTCTCAACAATCTTTCATAAAATCTTGTGTGCTGCTTTTTGTTTTAATATGTGACTTGCTTTGGCCCTCGAGCGACTGGCCTCGTCTTAAGTCCTGCCTCTCTGATACATTTAAATTTTAGTCATTTAGCAGACGCTCTTATCCAGAGCGACTTACTTTATTTATTTATTTATTTTTCATACTGGCCCCCCGTGGGAAACGAACCCACAACCCTGGCGTTGCAAACGCCATGCTCTACCAACTGAGCTACATCCCTCAGTTGATAGAAAAAGGTTTCAATTCTTATAACCATCGCTGAACTGTAATTTGCCATTGCGACATCAATGTAATGGTAGAGGAAATGGTGCTATGAATGTGTCAAGGCTTTTTAAAGCCTATTTTCTTTGAAGAGCTGGATATTGATTGACATTGCATGTCATGGGCACTGTCCCCACTGACCGTAATGTAGCCTAGCTTAATTTAATCCATGAATCAAATGTAGGCCTCCAGATTAATTGTGATTTAGGCGATGTCTGTCTGTCTTTTATGGGCAATGTTCCACTGGTAGTAGGAGTTGAACCAACCTTATTAACCGTTGTTAATTTGTCCTCGTCCTTAGGTCAAGAGGTAGTCCAAGATGGCTGCAGCATCTTATGATCAGCTGCTGAAACAAGTGGAGGCACTGAAGATGGAGAACTCCAACCTTCGACAAGAGCTTGAGGACAACTCCAACCACTTGACCAAACTGGAGACGGAAGCCTCCAATATGAAGGTAATCAGACCTCGTCTATGATACACTAAGAACCCTGTGTCGAAGGTCGTGTTCATTATTGCACACTGGGTCGACAGTCGTGTTCATTATGGCATACTGTAGCAAAACATTTTCCTACATAAAATGCAAAGTACAGATGGCAGTCGCTCACCCCGTTACACTCAATTTCAAAGCGGTTCCTTCTGTTTCATGCCTACTGAACACAACCAAGCTTTTCCTCTTCCCTCAAATGCGTGTACCAACTCAGTGGCCTTGTGGTTAGTGTCCGCCCTGAGATTGGAAGGGTGTAAGTTCAATCCCTGGCCGAGTCATACCAAAGACTGTAAAAATGGGCACTCAGCTTGGCACTCAGCATTAAGGAGATAGATCGTGGGGTAAGGCGTCCTGTCCATGGGGTGTACTTGTACATCAAGCTGCCTCACGTTACCGTCGTTGATGTGTTTGTCCCAGTTATTGCTTCACTCAGTAGGCTTCATCAAGCACAACAGTGGGATATTTCCCTAGGCAAGATCTTAGAACATAGCCTGTCTTCCAGCTTTGAACACCAAATATGCCTGAAATAAGATGTTAGTGTTGAGTGCTCCGCTGAAAGTAATTTATAGACTCTCTAATCCACCCCCTCTCAATATAGGCCTAGCTACCGAGGAAGACACCATGATGTAGCACGGACAGAAAATGTTAGCTAGTATCCGAGACAGAAATAAATATATCCTCCTTTTCTCCTCATCCTGTCCACATTCTCACAACACCCCTTCACAGGCCTCTCGCTCTCGCTCTCGACACATCCCACTGTATTGTCACTCTCTTGAATTATCCCCTCCCTATCTGCAGCCCAGAGTCGGGCTGTGTCTGAAAACGTTACTAGCTGTCATCCTCGTTTCTGCTGTCCTTGTTTCCTCAATTCCTCTCGAAGCTTATTGGAAGATGGGGGTTCGAGGGAGGCCCCTTGGATCCTCTCCTCCAATGCAATTTCAGAGGAATTGAGACTGAGGATGGAAAGATTTGGAGGTTAGTAACATTTTCAGACACAGCCTTGGACTGTTCATGAGAAGAGCTGCCATCCTGGGCTTGGCTGCTGAATGTGTCACACACACACACACACACACATACACACTGGACACGCACACACTGGACACACACTGGACACATACACACTGGGGTTGGATGTACCAGCCTGCTAGGTGCCGTTGCTTTAATTGGATGATGTGACCTGGCAGGCTGAGACTTCAGGAGGTGATTTTAAACTCCTAGGGCTTTTCTGTTCTCACAGGAGTATTTGGGTTCTTAACAATCTCTGTCAATGTCTTCTACCCCACAATGCACCCCTGGGTAGTGAGTGGTGCCACCTCACATTAGGGAGCACTACTTTCTTACATGTGGCAGTACATTTTGTGGACGACTCATTAGCCCAGGAGCTAAGGACAAGAGACCGCAGATCTTTCCCTGAATCACAAATCAACTAGGGGTTGATTCTCTCTGATCTATTAAAATGCTTAGTTGCTTTTGTGTGTTGTGACATATTCATTTCCTGGGAATGAGTGACATCGTGGAAGGACTCACAGCATGTAGGGACTTGCTGAGGTATATGTTTGGTGCAAGCTTAGTCAGTATTAGCTATTAGTCGACGCTGGGTGAGTCTTAATGTGAATAACACTGATGACACATACTTTATGTGAGACTGTGTTCACTTTCCAGTAGGTTTGGAGCTGGGTTTGAGGTTTGCCTCAGTCTCACTTTGGGGGGGGGGGGGGGGCTGGTCGGGGTCTACCGGCTCTACCCTTAGCTTAGCAGCAGTGCTGAATGTGCCAGTCTATCTATTAACAATGCGCCCCATCAGCTCTGCTCTGCCTCTCCGTCTGCTTTGGCTCAAATGGAAAACCTGCCAACTCAGTCAGTTTAGTAAGCCTAGGGATAGGCTACCTGCTACTCTGCAGTCTATTTCACGCTGGAGGGAGGTGGCTGTGGCACACCCCTTTGTGCTGCTGCAGATACAGAACCAGCCTGGGTTTGGCTTAGGGATTTCTCAATCTCTGGCACTAGCTTAACTCTTTTTAAGGAGATGTAATGTGTAAAAAATTAAAATACATTCAAGTATAATTTTTGTCCTTGGTGCAACGACGCCATCCATTGTGTTGACCTGTATTGTTCAGAAATCCTTCCTGGACTGTAAGCTATAGTGTTGGAGGTTAGGTTACTGCATCCTGCAATGCTTACTAAATAGGGTTTAGCTTAATGCTTATCGTAAGTTGAGTGTTTTGTAGGTTAATGGTAGCCTAAGTAGTATAAACTCTAAAGCACTGTAGTGCAATGTTTCTATGTAGGCTAATTAGGGGGAAGGGTTATCATTTCCAACCAAGTGAGAATTATCAGGCCTATCTTGTAGAAATATGGCCTGTTAGTATTCCTTATTGGGGAGAACCCCTGGTGAGATCATAAAAGATGGATCATAAATAATTAGATTATTCAGGGGGTGAATAATGGTATTGTTAATGACTAATGGAAGAGATTAAAGACAGTCCGCCTTTTCCCTTTGTGGTAATCAGTCTTGTATTCATCAGAAACCATATCTCCCTCTGGCACGTTTAGATCGATGTAAGCTGCTCTTTCAAAGACACACACACACACACACACACACACTGCTCATTCTGAGACGCTCTCTTCCCTCCGCACCTCGGGGAAGGCAGGGTCTTTTTTTAGCGTCTCTCTCCCTTCCTCTCATTGTATCTGATGAATGCGCCTCTCTCAGTTCCGACATCCAGCCATTTCCTCTCTCCTCGGGGCTCAGGGTCTGCATCCCAAATAGCACCATTTTCCCCTTTTATAGTGCACTACATTTGACCAGGGCCCATAGGGTGCACTATATAGGGAATGGGGTGCCATTTGGGACGCATCCAGGCTGTCACAGGCTCACAGCTGCAGGGAGACCAGAGGAGAGCACGAACAACGGCATCTCCATCAATGAGCACTGAGCAGGCTTCCTCTCTTTCCTACACACCAAGCCATGACACACAGCGCAACAAGAGCTCCATTTTAGTTCAATAATTATGTTTACGAGCACGTGCGCACACGCGCGCACACGGACACACACACATCGAATTGTACTTGTATCTTATGTAACCCAGTTTTAACATAAACCCTACAGCTTTAGATGAGCACTAAACCTCTATAAATCCTCAGTCATTCCATCCTGTATGTGGAAAGCGATGATATAAAGTGACATTTTGCATGTGATATCTCTTAAGTTTCTGGCAGAAAGTTTCTTCAGAAGTTACTGGTGAAATTGAAATCACCTTTTGGGGGGATCAATACTAGTGGCTCATTCCCAGTGGGTGGGTCCACAACATAATAGTCTAATACTGCTACTGGGGGAGTTGAAATGGGCTTAGTTCTCAGAACAGACAGGTTTTTATGATTTAAGCTTTCTACTTAACGGGGCCCTGAATCTCCTAAGCTTTTTAGGAATCCACTTTGTTTAGCAGAAAAGTTAAATCAAGGAGTTTCAGACATAGAAATTAAGGTTTTCCGATCATCAATGAATAGCTTTTGAACAAAACAGAACTCCCGTTTCCCCCCCAAAAAAATCCATGCCTTTTTCTATTTTGAGAAGTCTTATTTCTGGTGTACTATAATCCTAAAATTACCTAACAGGAATCTGTGGTGGTCTGGGTCTCTCGTTAAGTAAAGCCTAGCAGGTAAGGTTACTTCACACATTAGTGTCCTAATCTAAACCCTCCAGGCCTGCCTTCCCATGACAACATCAATGCTTGTTTTTTCCTTATTACACACCACATGCATAAAAAATAAAATAAAATAGCATTCTCAATGACAGTCTACCTTTTTCCAGTCAGAGTGCAGTACAATAGCCGGACATGGCGTGGTCCCTTCCCCTCTCCCCTTGTTCTGCTTTGCCCCCCCCCCCACTCACACACAGGACCCGTCCCTCCAACCGGACTCACAGGCCAACCAACAACCAAACCCCAGGGCCTCATGGGAGCCCAGTTCAGATGAAACGAGAGTCTGATGAGAATGAGACCCTGGCGTGCTGGGTGGGTTTTGGCTCTGCAGATGGGTACTTTTACAGCATTGATTTGAGTTACTAGGAGTATTGGATTACCTTTTTAAAAGCCTGGCTGTCTGTAGTGTGTGTGTGTGTGTGGAGGGCATGCAGGACACTCAAACACTGCAGGGATGCCCTGGTATTCTAGCCGGTCTCTCTGTTGGATTTGTTTATTGGGGAAGAGTGCGTCCATTTTCCCGTCTCGGATTGAGCAAACAGATCCAGAATGCTGAGACTCGGACAGCAGTGGACTAAAAATATAATTTAAAGAGTTGACAACTGGACTTGGTATCGATGTGGCTGCTTCAAGGTTTGCTTTCCTTTTTTATTTGGTTTAGCAGCTAGTATTTGATTATCCTACTAATTGAAGTAAGGTCAGACTTGATTAGTGTTTTTTGTACTTTCCTACAGTAGTGGCTTGCCTGTCCTCAAATTTCATTTACTCTCAAGGACCCAATGGTTATTTGTTTTTATGGGTCTTTTTCTAGGCCAGATCAATCTATATGGATTCTCCTCTTGGTCTTGAATTTACGGTCAGCTAGTAATCAGCGTTCTAAATGACCTGTATTCTAGTCACATGTTAGCAACAACATGTCCGTCACCCCCGATGGTTGAATAGAGGAGTGGTTCTGCTAGGAGCTGCTGTGAATAGAATGAGGGGCTCTTTTATCATATGATCCCAGCCTGATAATGCAGCCGTTGTGCAGTGTGTCTAGACGTCACACATGCTTTAGAGGGAGCGGGAGAGGGCGCATCACACAGTCAGGGCTGTGTGTGTGTTGTTTCCTGCTATCCAGCCCTCTGGTCTGACCCCCTTTCAGCCCGCTCATCGATGCATGGGCCAGGATCAGAGGTCATAGGGTGGAGGTCAGCGGACACTGTGACCCTCCGGGTCATGCGGTTGGTTACGTTGGGAGTAACCCTTCAATCTAATGGGAAGCAGCTGTATGGACATAGCCTCTTGATGGCCCCTGGTCTTTGACTGAGACTGGGACAGGCAGGGTAGAAGAAAAACCCTGTTCTGTTTCCTGAGTGGGAGCCGTGTTGTCGCCGGACATTGTGTCGTCGGACATCACTTCTCTGCTCTGATGCTTCCCTCTCCCCTCGGACTCACTGGAGGACGGGAGACTATTCTTTCTAGTCCACTTGAAAAATTACATAAGCTAACGAACCATTCAATCTGGAAATACCTTTTTACTAACTTTTGATTTATTGACCTGCAGTACAAATTTGCAGTTAATACAATATAAAGTCCAGATTGGTTGGAGGATTCTGCCTGCTGTGGAGACTACCACTGCTGCTACAGCTGTAGTACTGTACTCTGGGGTTCCTGAGCTATATGGACATGATCGTATCCAGCCTCTCGTTCGCTATGCTGTATCATTCTGATTGTAGGCCTAGTTGTTTTAACGCTGGATTTATTATTCTCCTCTGGAAGTATGCCTTTCCACCCTTCAGTTTGTCACTGTTGTAAGTTCATTGTGGTAAGTCTTAGTCCTCCTGTAACAAGGCAGCTTCAATAGGCTAATTATGTTCATGATCTTTTTCCAGTGATGTTATAGAGCCGAGCGTTTAACTGATTATGGACAGGACACGTAGTCAAACAAACCCGTAGCGGGATCAAGATCTGTAAGATCTTCATAATGTGGTGTATATTAGGTCAAGTGGGTTCAGAGTTCCATTTTGAAATGTGTCATTTAATGGTTTTATAAGTATTAACTAGGCTGCTTTTCCCACTTTAACAAGGGTTTTGGCTAAATTTAGTTTTTTTCATTTGTGGATATAGGCCTACAGCAAACAATGCATTGCTACTGTATGTCTTTGGGTTGGTTGGCCTGTGAAAAGGCTAAAGATGAAGATGCATCAGATACCTTATCGGAAAGGATGGGAGATAATGTCCATAGGAGGAGAAAAACTGCTCTAGCTGACCTAGAGGATGGCAGATGTCATTGGTTGACTGAAGAGTAGAGTACACTGAGAACAATATCAAGTCTAAAGAATAGCATCCCTCCCTTCAGGGCAAAGTCACTGATGAAATCAAAGGGCCATTTCTTAAAAAGCCATTAGTGGCATGCTCTTTAGGAACAGAGAGACTTAGTTAGGGTCCAACCTACTATACTGTCTGTATCCAAGAAAGGCACCTGACCAATTCATTAGACCTAGCCTTATTCAAGAAGACTTCTTTTTGTTTCTGATTAGCGACCACTGTAATGAATCAGCCCGTTCTTTGCTGCTACTTTTCTGTTGCACTTTTGTTCTTCTAAAGAGGAAAGGTCTTCTTCAAAGCCCTATTAGATGTCTGTCTCTCTGACTGTGAACCTCCTGGTTGTGACGTTGGGGGGGGGGAGGAAGAGCGAGGGATAGTTAAGGGGAGGGAGAGACTGAAAGAGGGAGAGGTGGGAAGCAAGTTCCTTGGCGTCCACATCACGAAGGACTTAACATGTTCCACACATACCCCCTCAAGAGGCTGAAAAGATTTTGCATGTGCCCTCAGATCCTGAAAAAGATCTACAGCTGCACCATCGAGAGCATCTTGACTGGCTGCGTCACTGCTTGGCATGGCGAATGCACCGCCCTTGAACCGTAAAGCACTACAGAGGATGGTGCGGATAGCCCAGTACACCGGGGCCGATCTCCCTGCCATCCAGGACCTCTATATCAGACAGCGTCAGAGGAAGGCCCGAAAAATTGCCAAAGACTCCAGCCAACCAAGCCATAGACTGTTCACTCTGCTACCGTCCGGCAAACATTACCGGAGTCCCCCCCCCCCCCCCTTACTTTTTTCTGTTTCTAAACTAAAAGAACATTGCTGTTCTTTCCTGCTTTTGAAATGTGTGTGAGTGTGTCCCTCTGTGCGTATACATATCAACTAGATGTTGTTCAGTGTTCTTATTCGCGGTTGTGTGTTTACAAACAATACATTAAAAGTGATTGCTTTTCCTGTCTTTCAGGAGGTGCTGAAACACATACAGGGAAGCATTGAAGAAGACTCAACCGATTCATCTGGACAAATCGATCTCCTAGAAAGACTGAAAGGTATGCATCCCACATGAGGTGACAGAATTAGCTGACTGAAACGCATGTTCTATTAAATAACCTCAATTTGATGTTCCTTCCTCCGGTAGAAATTAGCCTGGATCCTAACACTTACCCAGGGGTAAAGCTGAGACCTAAGCCATCTTCCATGCAGGGTTCAGGCTCTGGGCATTCAGGGGACAGCAGCCCCAGCCCCATGGGTTCCTTGGGCTCCCTCCAAAAGAGAGGGGTGTCCAATGGCGGCAGAGACACCGCTGGCTACCTGGAGGAGCTGGAGAAGGAGAGGTGAGCTCCTGCTTGCATTATGATGTATTTTCACATTAGTTTGTCTTTGTTGAAGGCTATACTTAGTCTCCATCCCAAACGGCACCCTATTCCCTACATTTGCCTCTCTCCCTGCCAAATCACATTATGAATGCAATGGTGCAGTCTGAGGGCTTCCATCACATAGTGCGTCATGCTAACATTGTTAGGTTGCAAAGTGTATTCCCGGGCATTAGTCACAGACCGGATGCATTAGGCGGTCGTATTCAGGACACCTACCCTGTTTTATTCTGGCATATCAATGCTGTATATGTGTCTTTCTCTTAGGTCCTTGATTGGAGTTTATATGGTCTGACTTCGGTCAGTGTTTTGTATCTTTGGTCTCTGATTGGTGAATTGTTTATTGAATTTTTTATATCTTGGGTCTCTGATTGGTGCGATTGTCTCTGTCCTGTCAGGTCCTTATTGATGGCGGAGCTGGAGAAAGAGGAGAAGAAGAAGGACCAGTATTACGCACAGCTGCAGAACCTCACCAAGAGGATCGACAGCCTACCGCTGACTGAGAATGTAAGTGTGTTGGGATGGGGTATAATGACTTATAGATGCTCTCAAAGTACCATAACTGACAGTACGCAGTTATCCTCTCTGCAGTATTAAATATTCAACATTTCGTCATGCCTGATGTGTTGTTGATCATGTTTGCGGTTGCAGCAATTCTCCCTGCAGACGGATATGACCCGTAGGCAACTGGAGTACGAGGCGAGGCAGATCAGAGCCGCCATGGAGAAACAGCTGGGAACCTGCCAGGATATGGAGAAGAGGGCACAGGTGAGGAAAGATGGATGAGATAAATGGAGACAGTGAAAAAGGAGAGAGGAGGTAGAGAAATGTATGGAATGAGTCATTGATTAGGAAACACACACACACACACAGGAAGAACAGAATGGTCAGTAAGGATACTGATTAAGTGGGATGAGATTATGTAGGCAGTTGGGGGGTAGGACATTTAGTAAATGGACTTAAATTGACATAATTCAACAACGTCTGTCTGCTTCTACGAATGCTTTTATTCAGTAAGTGTTACATAATTGTAATATCCGGTTATCATCCTCTGAGTGATTGCTTCCTGTAAATGTCCTGCCGTGTTTCAGGTGAGGGTGACTCGTATTCAGCAGATAGAGAAGGACATACTGAAGATCCAACAGCGTGTCCAGTCTCCACCTGCAGAACCAGAGGTATGTGATACTCACCCCAGCCTCTAGACTGTACATCTAGGCCTTGTTCTAGCCAGGACAATAAAGGTACAGAATATCTCACTGTAAATACATTTAGCGGACACACATTATTCCTGTCCAAAATGACTAAAATGCCCTTCGACAATACAGAGGGTCCGGGACTAAGCATAATCTGTGTCTGGGAAACCAGCCCTAAATGTATTTACATTGAGATATTTTGACCCTCTGTTGTTTCTGGCAACACTTTCTCTGTATTCTGGCTAATGCCTGGCCTGTCTCTGTATTCTGGCTAATGCCTGGCCTGTCTCTGTATTATGGCTAATGCCTGGCCTGTCTCTGTATTATGGCTAATGCCTGGCCTGTCTCTGTATTCTGGCTAATGCCTGGCCTGTCTCTGTATTCTGGCTAATGCCTGGCCTGTCTCTGTATTCTGGCTAATGCCTGGCCTGTCTCTGTATTCTGGCTAATGCCTGGCCTGTCTCTGTATTCTGGCTAATGCCTGGCCTGTCTCTGTATTCTGGCTAATGCCTGGCCTGTGTGGACATCTCCGTCTCAGCAGACATTCCGTGGTCACAGGTTGTTGGCTTTTAGTCATGTAAAGAACCTGAAGCTGCTTCCATCTGAGTGTCGTACCATGTCAGTCAGCCATCCCATTTTCTGATATCCATTTAATCCTCCATGTTGTACTGGTTGCGCTAACCGTACCGTTCCCCTTTCTATGCAATGGGGAATGATGTGTAGCCTCCATCCCTGCTTTACAGAGAAATGTCTCATGGACATTGACTAGTGTACAATAATGCTTTGTTACTGATCCGATATGGTGATTTATCTGAACTGAACACACACTGTCCTCTCTCATCCAATCATTTTGCAGTGTTCTGCTCATCTAAACAAGAGCAGCATTTATTTACAGTGGCTCCTAAGGACACTAGAATGCTAGAAGCAACTCTAGAATACGGAGTTCCTTCCAGCATTCCACTGTATCTAACTTCTGACCCTGATTCTGGGGGGTGAAATGAACCATAGGCTTTCTCCTGTTCTCTCTCCTTGTGTTAAATATTAAAAAGAGAGCTAGTGAATGAATGACATTTTATTTTCGTGTCAAATTACCAGTTGGCAACCCATCCCTTATGGGATTAATTGACACACACACAAACATTACTATAGTTCACTGTCATAATTCAGTGATCATTCTTCTTCCGGTGTTATAATAAATAAATAAATAAAATTTCTTCCGGTGTTCTCTGCAGTGCATATCGCATACAGAGTGGGGGAAAAAATCAATACATAATAGTAAATAAGATAATCCAAAGAAGAATTATATCCTTAGAGCAGTAAAAATATACATGCATACATACATACAGTGCCTTTGGAAAGTATTCAGACCCCTAGACTTTTTCCACATTTTGTTACATTACAGCCTTATTCTAAAATGGATTAAATAAATAAAAATCCTCAGCAATCTACACACAATGCCCCATAATGAGAAAGCGAAAACAGGTTTTTAGAAATGTTAGCAAATTTATGAAAAATAAAAAACAGAAATACCTTATTTACATAAGTATTCAGACCCTTTGCTATGAGGCTTGAAATTGAGCTCAGGCATTGATCATCCTTGATATGTTTCTACAACTTGATTGGAGTCCACATGTGGTAAATTCAATTGATTGGACATGATTTGGAAAGGCACACACCTGTCTATATAAGGTCCCACAGTTCACAGTGCATGTCAGAGCAAAAACCAAGCCATGATGTCGACGGAATTGTCCGTAGAGCTCCGAGACAGGATTGTGTCGAGGCACAGATCTGGGGAAGTGTACCAAAACATTTCTGCAGCATGGAAGGTCCCCAAGAACACAGTGCCCTCCATTCTTAAATGGAAGAAGTTTGGAACCACCAAGACTCTTCCTAGAGCTGGCCGCCCGGCCAAACTCAGCAATCGGTGGAGAAGGGCCTTGGTCAGGGAGGTGACCAAGAACCCGATGGTCACTCTGACAGAGCTCCAGAGTTCCTCTGTGGAGATGGGAGAACCTTTGAGAAGGACAACCATCTCTGCAGCACTCCACCAATCAGGCCTTTATGGTAGAGTGGCCAGACGAAAGCCACTCCTCAGTAAAAGGCACATGACACACCGCTTGGAGTTTGCCAAAAGACACCTAAAGACTCTCAGACAATAAGAAACAAGATTGAACTCTTTGGCCTGAATACCAAACGTCATGTCTGGAGGAAACCTGGCACCATCCCTACGGTGAAGCATGGTGGTGGCAGCATCATGCTGTGGGGATGTTTTTCAGATTGTGCAAAGCTGTCATCAAGGCAAAGGGTGGCTATTTGAAGAATCTCAAATATAAAATATGTTTTGACTTGTTAAACACTTTATTTGGTTACTACATGATTCCATATGTTTTATTTCATAGTTTTGATGTCTTCACTATTCTTCTGCAATGTAAAAAATAGTGAAAATAAAGAAAAACCCTTGATTGAGTGGGTGTGTCCAAACTTTTGACTGGTAGTGTTTATACTAGTCTTCCATCCAATTCTAATTGAATGAAGGAGGACATGTTAGACTGCAGCACTAGACACATTAGCTGACCTAGTGACTGAGAATGTGTGCAGTCAATCAACCGGTGACCTACCTTCTGCTCCTGTTGGATGCACAGCCAAGAAGCCATAAGGCCTTGGTGGGTGTTCATGTGTCACTGTGCATGAATACCGTATTCAAGCCAGTGCACTCATGCCTGCATCATGTGAGATTGTGTTTATTTGGTGGCCCATACAGTATGGGTGCTCGTGTGTTTGGCTGTTTGGTAATTGTGTGTGTACACTACTACAATCTCTTACTCTACATGAGTGGATAAATCATTGGACACATTTAATTCCCCCCTCTTTGACTGTCATCCTGCAGGCTGAGCTACAGCTTATGTAGGTCAGGGATAAGGAAGCCTGATGCTGCTGCTCTAGCTAGCCTAGTGACTGAAAGCTATATCCTCTATCGCCATCACTCTGTTTGTCTCGTAGTCTCTCACACCCACTCTCAATCTCTCTCTATTGCTATCACTCCCTGTCTCACACGTCCACTCTCTCTCAATCTCCTGTCTTCCTCCTCTCTCACTCCTCCTCATTCTGTCTTGCTCTCGCTCTCTCCCTTTCCTTCCTTTCAGTCTCTCCGCCTGCCCTACGGGGACTGTTTTCTGTTTCCTATTTTTTGAACGGATTCTGCCTCTGCTTCCAGGTGACTGGTTCTGTTTCCTCTCTCTCTCTCTGTTGTCTAGTTCCTCTCATCCCTCATTTAGCCTGCTACATGAATGGTTCGCTCCTCTGGAGGTCTGAACCTTATTTCCCTCTTTCTTTCCCCGTGCAGAGCATGCATGACCAGGCTGCTCAGGATCAGGGAGCCCAGGCTTCAGGGCACAGTGGTGGGCCTAATGCTGGGTGTTCTCAGGTGAGACTCACCTTCTTTCCGTACCTGATCCAAGACAATCAGCATGTTTGAGGGGATCATTATTAGATCATTATGAGTAGCATATTGGAATGCAATGTGATTTGTAGACTGTGATTCTACGTAGTTTGACTGCAATGTAGTCCATCTGAAACAAACACAGTGCTTGCACCCCCAGAGATTTGTAGTTAACGTTTGACGGATTCATTTTTGCTTCCTTTGGTCCTATAATGCTCCAGAAAATAACTTCCGCCATTGGACTGACTGGTGATGTTGGTTAGGGGAGTTTGGCTGAGCTGTCGTGCGCTGCCTTTTTTTGCCGTGCTTAGAGCCTTGACTTTCCATTTAATGCTAATGATGTGTCTTACTTCAGAGTAGGTTTTATCCCTGAGGCTTGCGGTTAAACCGTTAATGGTTGGATTTTTATTTTAACGACGACTTTTAAAATGTAATGTAGTCTGACTTCCCTCGATTCTTAGCAGAATGAATGAGGTTGCTGGGAATGTTCTGTGGAAAAAAACAGTCACACACTGTGACACACTAATGGCTTTGATGAGAAAGGCAAAGATGTAGCTCAGTTGGTAGAGCATGGTGCTTACAACGCCAGGGTTGTGGGTTCGTTTCCCACGGGTGGCCAGTATGAAAATGTATGCACTCACTAACTATAAGTCGCTCTGGAGAAGAGCGTCTGCTAAATGACTAAAATGTAATGTTATACTGTAGGAAATTGCTAACAAGCAACACATCAATATTAATACATTTTAATTTAAAAAATGCTTTAAAAAGTTGTTTAACAAAATTATTTATTTTGTAATCTAGGGTTCGAGCTCTCGCCTGGATCAGGACTCTGCCAGTGAAATGAGTTTGGGTGGGGGTAGTTACTCTGTGCCCCGCAGACTGACCAGTCACTTGGGCACCAAGGTAACCAGATATTCTACCAACACTCGGGTTGATGTAGTTCTACTGTTCTCATCAAACGATCCCCCTTAATAATAAACCACATGAGATCTGCCTGCATGCCCAAACCGGAAATGTGAAATGTTATCTAGTTTAGAAATGTAATAGAAATTGCTTTTTTAAACGGAAGGTAGCTCACATAAATTAGATTGCATCCCAAGTGGGACAATTTGATCCATTTCGATATTAATAATTGACCTATGTATCATCAGGGCGTGTCTTCAACAAAGTAGTTGTTCTCACGGTCGCCCTCTAACCCTATAGGTGGAGATGGTGTACTCCCTTCTCTCCATGCTGGGGACCCATGATAAAGATGACATGTCTCGCACTCTGCTGGCCATGTCCAGTTCCCAGGACAGCTGCATCGCCATGCGCCAGTCAGGCTGTCTTCCCTTACTCATCCAACTCCTCCATGGCAACGACAAGGTTTGTAATGTTTTTGTTTGGTAACTTTGTCTTATTCTTTATCATTCGGCTAGATGTTATTTATTCAGTCGAGGACCACTTTGGAAATAAGTATTTTAATGAATGCTTTCAAGTGATATCCTGTTTTTAATTTATTATTTTGTAAAATTCTATTCAATTCAAGGACTCAGTGCTGCTGGGGAACTCCCGAGGCAGCAAGGAGGCGAGGGCGAGGGCCAGCGCCGCCCTCCATAACATTATCCACTCCCAGCCTGACGATAAGAGAGGGCGCAGGGAGATCAGAGTACTGCACCTCCTGGAGCAGATCAGGGTTTACTGTGAGACCTGCTGGGAGTGGCAGGAGAACCATGAGAGGGGAGTGGACCAGGATAAAAACCCCAGTAAGGCCTGCTCAGATGTATTTCATGCTTTGGTTAGGGCATTGTTATTTGGATGAGTAATGCAGGACAAAAACCCAGTAAGGACTACAGCGACAGTTGTAATGAATTGTGTTGGTTTGGTTTTTCATTGTGTATTTGGAAGGATAAACCCCCAGTAGGTCCTGCTCAGATCACTTGTGCTTGATTTGTTTAATGTATTACATGGATAATTGGATGGGTAATGCAGGACAAAAACTTTCAGATGGATGAACTGTGTTTTAGTTAGGGTATGGACATTTGGATGGGTAATGTGTTTTTATTCTAATGGATTGTGTGTGTGTGTGTGTGTCAGTGCCCTCTCCCGTGGAGCATCAGATCTGCCCAGCGGTATGTGTTCTAATGAAGCTGTCCTTTGATGAAGAGCACAGGCACGCTATGAATGAGCTCGGTAAGCATTCATTCCAAAACTGTTGTTCTGACCAAATGCACCTTTTTATTTATTTAGGCTATTTAACCAGGATAGTCCACTTGGTGACACTTTCCACTGATTTCCAGGCAGTTATCTAAAAACAACTCATGAAACGAAATCTTTATTTGATCGGTTTAATGTTTCATATTGTTGTCATCACCCGAGAAACCAAAACAGAACAGAGCTAGGTTAATGCATCACGTTACAGATAAATAATTGATGTATTCATCCCTATAAAGATGTAGGCTCTTATGCAATGTCTTGCATTGGACATAATATAGTAGAACATTCATGGGGCAGACTCATTCAATGATGGATTGACATTTCTCCTGCTGTGCTGTGTGTTCCCAGGGGGTCTGCAGGCTATAGGGGAGCTCCTCCAAGTGGACTGTGAAATCTACGGCCTCACCAGCGACCACTACAGCGTCACTCTGAGGAGATACGCTGGCATGGCCCTCACCAACCTCACCTTCGGGGACGTGGCCAATAAGGTGAGCTTCTGGTTCCAGACGATTTAACCTTAGATGTAGTTGATGTGTGTGGAATTCTGACCTAATATTTTGCAAATGTTCTGCCTATTCCTGGATTTAAAAACTCTTTAAATCTCAATTAAGCACGCTTTGTAGTCCAGGAGTAGGTTCATTCTGGGTCTGGGAAACCTGCCAATATGTGTACACACACCTGAAAGTAAAGGCAGTAGTGTCTTCGAGGATAATCTGAATCTCTGTGCTTGTTCATAAAGTATGGCTTCAAATTAATAATAAGCATCTTTCTGTGTCTTCCATCCTCAGGCCACACTATGTTCCATGAAGGGATGCATGAGGGCCATGGTGGCTCAGCTGAAGTCTGAGAGTGAGGATCTACAGCAGGTGATTGCCAGTGTGTTGAGGAACCTGTCCTGGCGCGCGGATGTGAACAGTAAGAAGACCCTCCGCGAGGTGGGCAGCGTCAGGGCTCTGATGGAGTGTGCCTTGGAGGTACAGAAGGTGAGACATCCACAACTCTCACTTTGATACAACTACATGATAAGGAGAACATCATGTATAAGTATGTGAATGAAATGTACAATAGGAATTCGATAAAGATTTACCCGAATATTTGCCGAAATATGTATGCTGATAAAGTATGTCCTCTTCTCCCTTCAAAGGAGTCTACTCTGAAGAGTGTCCTCAGTGCCCTGTGGAACCTGTCAGCTCACTGCACTGAAAACAAAGCTGATATCTGTGCTGTAGAGGGGGCTTTGGCCTTCCTGGTTAGCACTTTGATGTACCGAAGCCAAACAAACACCCTCGCCATCATTGAAAGTGGAGGAGGCATCTTGCGCAATGTGTCTAGTCTCATCGCTACAAATGAAGATCACAGGTATGTCTATTCAAATAAAAAATAATTCATTATAGTATTATGCTGTTAAATCTTATAATGGTTTGATATTATTATACTGACTCCCCTCTAGTAATTTTTACACTTGAAAGCTTACAAGACCATGTGTGGTTTTCTTTCTCTGTCTGTAGGCAAATCCTGAGAGAGAACAGCTGTCTTCAGACACTCCTGCAGCACCTGAAGTCTCACAGCCTGACTATTGTGAGCAACGCGTGTGGCACTCTGTGGAACCTCTCGGCCCGCAATGCAAAGGACCAGGAGGCCTTGTGGGAAATGGGTGCTGTGAGCATGCTGAAGAACCTCATCCACTCCAAGCACAAGATGATCGCCATGGGCAGCGCTGCAGCACTGAGGAACCTCATGGCCAACAGGCCCGCCAAATACAAGGACGCCAACATCATGTCACCTGGTTCCAGCCTGCCCTCTCTTCACGTCAGGAAACAGAAAGCCCTGATCGAGGAACTGGACTCTCAGCACCTCTCGGAGACGTTTGACAATATTGACAATTTAAGCCCCAAGGCGTCCCACAGGGGTAAACCAAGCAGGCACAAGCAGAATGTCTACAGTGATTACGATGGTGTCTCTAGATCAGACGGGTTTAGCCCTAACAGTGTGCCTGTGCGCTCCCCTTACGTGAACACACCAGTTCTTTCGAGTCCGTCACCCAGAGACAACCCAAGGGGGAACATAGACAGTGTTAGGGCCGAGAGGGATCGTAGCCAGGACAGAGACAGACAGAGGGGTGCACCCAGTGGTTTCCACCCAGATCATGACTCTAAGAGAATGCAGATGCCCGCCACAACAGCAGCTCAGATCGCCATGGTGATGGAGGAAGTGAACAGCATTCACTTACTGACTGGCCTGGATGACCGGTCACCAGAGACCCCTAATCAAGACCCTCACTGTAAAACTGCAGCACATGGTCATTCAAATGTATATCCCTACACTAAACCCGATCACTCGGGCAGACCATGTCCAATGCCCAAGTTGGAATACAAGGCATCCAACGACAGTCTCAACAGCGTTAACAGCACTGACGGCTATGGAAAAAGAGGACAGATGAAGCCGTCTGTGGACTCATACTCTGAGGATGATGAGGGGAAGTGTTGCGTCTATAGAAAATATCCTGCAGACCTCGCTCATAAGATCCACAATGCAAACCACATGGAAGATGATGACGGAGAAGTTGACACACCTATCAACTACAGCCTAAAGTATTCTGACGAGCAACTGAACTCTGGTCGGCAAAGTCCAAGCCAAAACGAGAGATGGGCGAGGTCTAAGCACATGGAGGAGGAGATGAAACAGACAGATCAGAGGTCTGTGCGATCTCAAAGCCCAGGCTACCCCATGTACACAGAGGGCAACAGTGAGGGGGAGGAGAAATTGAAGTACAAGCCCAGGTTCGTGCAAACAGAAATGCAACAAGGATTCAGATCAAGGAACTCCAACCAACACCTACAAGATCAAAGCAATGCTGGTCCCACTCAAGGAATGAACAAAAAGATGAACAATCAGACTATGTGCCAGTCTGTGGATGATTACGGTGATGACAAACCAACCAATTACAGTGAGCGATACTCAGAGGAAGAACAACAGGATGACCAGCCGACCAATTACAGTATGAAGTACAACAAGGAGCATCATACAGAACAACCAATTGATTACAGTCTGAAGTACTCCGACTCCTCCTCCCAAAAATCCATGTTTAGTCATTCAAAGTCACCCTCCACTCAGAGCTCAGTGAAAGACCATCTGAGCCAAGATGGTTCCACATCATCCGTGACATCCATAAAGAATGCAGGGAGACAAATGCAGCTACATCCATCCTCGGCTCAAACGAGGTCAGGGCCAACTCGACCAGGCCAGAAGAACACAGCATGCAAACCTCCTAACGTCAATCAAGAGACCCTACAGACGTACTGCGTTGAGGACACACCCATCTGTTTCTCAAGGGGTAGCTCTCTGTCATCCTTGTCCTCAGACGAGGACGAAATGGAAGGCTGCAAGAGGAATGTGAATGCTGCTAGGAACTACCCAACTCTTCCCATCTCTGAGAAAGAGTCAACTGGCAGTCACGCCCAAGAACAAGGCACAACCGAGGGCCAGTCGTCTGTGCAGTATGTCCGAATGAAGCCTCCAAGGACTAGTCAAGTTCATGGAGACGGATCCAGACATCACAAAGCCGTTGAGTTTTCATCAGGAGCCAAATCACCATCCAAAAGTGGTGCCCAGACTCCCAAAAGCCCCCCAGAACACTATGTGCAGGAGACACCCCTCATGTTCAGCAGATGCACGTCTGTAAGCTCCCTGGACAGCTTTGAGAGCAACTCCATCGCTAGCTCTATACAGAGTGAATTGTGCAGCGGGATGCCCAGTGGAATCATCAGCCCAAGCGATCTGCCCGACAGCCCTGGTCAGACCATGCCTCCGAGCCGAAGCAAAACGCCACCTCCCCCACAACATCAACATCCACCCCCAATGAAACACAAAAAGCTGCCGCCTCCGCCGCCTCCGAGGGCGGATATGGCTCCAAGGCATGCTGCTGTACACGCTGCTGTCCAGAGAGTCCAGGTGCTTCCGGATAACGACACCCTGCTACACTTTGCGACAGAGAGTACCCCAGATGGATTCTCTTGTGCGTCCAGCCTCAGTGCTTTAAGCTTAGATGAACCTTACATTCAGAAAGATAATGAGCTCAAGATAATGTCTCCTGTTCACGAAGACGACCAGGGAAATGAGGCTGAGCATGAGCATGATGACACTACAGAACCCCCAAGCCAAGAGAAGCATTCACCTGGTGAGGCAGAAAAATACATTTTGGATGATTCAGATGATGACGATATAGAAATACTGGAGGCTTGCATAAACTCCGCCATGCCAACAAAGTCATCAAGAAAACCCAAAAAGCAATCGCCTTCCAACACTAATTCTAGAATACCACCACCTACTGCCCATAAACCAAGCCAACTTCCTGTGTACAAGTTACTCCCTTCACAAACCCGAGGACAACAGAAGACTGTAAGCTTCACCCATGGAGAGGACATGCCTAGGATTTACTGCATAGAGGGAACCCCTATAAATTTCTCAACGGCCACATCTCTCAGCGACCTCACCATTGATTCACCCCCAAATGAGCTGACCAATGCTGAAAGCTGTGCTCCTCCTTGTGCAGAAGTATCCTCCAGCCAAATAAGGGATACTATTCCAGAAGGGGAAAGTACAGAGGAAAAAGATGCAGGTGTTACTTCTTCCTTCACACAAGCTGCTGCTGCAGAAAATGAAGGGGATGACATCTTAGCAGAGTGTATCAGTTCAGCCATGCCAAAAGGTAAAATCCACAAGCCCTTTAGAGTACAGAAAATGAATGATCAACCACAGCACCCATCATCAGCTTCTCCTGTTAGTCTAGTCCAACAGGAGGTTGAAAAGAAGAAGCCCACATCCCCTGTTAAACCAATGCCACAGAGTAGTGAGTACAGAGCTAGGATGATTAAGAAACCCCAGCCCCCTTTCCACTTTGCTTCATACCCTGATAAAAACAAAGAAACCAAAATGCTTGAGCCAAAAATGGCCTCCAGAAATTTCACAGATAAGCCACCAAATGCAGATGAGAGGCCACGGCCAGGGTTTGCTTTTGACTCGCCACAGAATTACACACCAATAGAGGGTACACCCTATTGCTTTTCACGCAATGACTCCCTGAGTTCCTTGGACTTTGAGGATGATGAACCTGATCTCTCAAAGGAAAAGGCCCAACTTAGAAAAGACAAAGACCAGAGAAAAGTGTCGACGAAAAACCGTGGAGAGCTATCCGCAAGGACAAACAGGGCAAATGTACCACCGACTGCTCCAACAAAACCTCTGCAGCAGAAGCAGGCAGTCTTTCCACAAGCATCCAAAGAAAACATGGGGCCAGTGCCAGATGAGAAGCAGAAGTTTTCCATTGAGGACACACCGATGTGTTTCTCTAGAAACTCATCTCTCAGCTCGTTAAGTGACATTGACCAAGAGAACAACAACAAAGATCTCCAGCCAAAAGAAGAGGAGGATGTAACTCAGGTGGAAGCTCCTTCTAAACCCCAAGCCTCTGGTTACGCACCAAAAGCCTTTCATGTAGAAGACACCCCTGTGTGTTTCTCAAGAAACAGTTCACTCAGCTCACTAAGCATTGATTCAGAAGATGACCTTCTACAAGAGTGCATCAGTTCAGCCATGCCAAAAAAGAAGAAACAGACAGCCAGAAATAAGGGGGGGAATGACCAAGGAGATGCCACTGAGGAGAAAAGTATGGATGGAATTTTAGCTGAGGAGCCTGATCTCACATTGGATCTCACTGATACACATAGTCCAGTTTCTGAACAAGCCTTATCTCCAGACTCTGAATCTTTTGATTGGAAGGCCATCCAAGAGGGTGCCAATTCCATCGTCAGCAGTTTGCACCAGGCAGCTGCTAGCCTCTCTAGACAAGGCTCATCTGACTCTGACTCAATCCTCTCCCTCAAATCTGGAATATCCCTTGGCTCCCCCTTTCACTTACCCTTAAATTCAGAGGATAATAAATCTGCATCCGACAAAGGAGGACGCCCACGGATATTGAAACCTGGTGAAAAGAGCACTTTAGAAGCAAAAAAGAAAGAAAAGGAAGAGGAGGCAGCAAAAGCTCTTAAAGGGGGCAAGAAAGTCTACAAAAGTCTCATAACAGGAAAACCACGTGCCAGCGCTGAGACCCCAGCCTCATTACAGCAGAGGCCGACGGCCCCTAGTGTTCCCATAATCTCTCGTGGGAGGACAATGATCCATGTCCCTGGTGTTAGAAGCAGTTCTCCAAGCACTAGCCCAGTCCAAAAGAAGCCTCCAGCCCGTGGTCCAGCCTCTGTCTCAAAAACTCCCCCCACTCAAGGGCAGAACTCCAGTAACTCACCCAGAAGCATCAAACCACCTGCTAAATCTGACCCTAGTCCCACCAGGGATCAGCCTGGATCTCAATCGGGATCAAGTAAAGCTTCATCACGATCAGGATCCAGAGACTCCACACCATCCAGACCAGCTCAGCAGTCCTTGACCACCAGACCCATGCAGTCACCTGGTCGCACCTCTGTGTCACCTGGAAGAAATGGTCTCAGCCCCTCAAACAAATTATCCCAAGTGCCTCGCACTGCTTCTCCAAGCACATTGTCAACTAAGTCTTCTGGTTCTGGCAGGATGGCCTACACCTCCCCTGGGAGACAGATGGGTCAGCAAACGCCACCCAAGCAGACTGGCTTGACGAGAAGCACTAGCGGAATCCCTAGGAGTGAATCTGCCTCAAAGAGTCTGAACCAGTGTGGAGTTGCTGGCACTTCTAAGAAGCAGGATTTGTCCAGGATGTCGTCCACAAAGTCTAGTGGAAGTGAATCAGACCGGTCGGAGAAACCTGCCCTAGTTCGCCAATCAACGTTCATCAAAGAAGCCCCTAGTCCAACACTGAAGAGGAAATTGGAAGAGTCTGCCTCGTTCGAGTCTCTGTCCCCCTCCTCTACCAGCCAGTCTCAAACGCCTGTGTCGAGCCCGTCTTTGCCAGATATGTCGTTGACTCTGCCCTATCAAGGGAGTCAAGGAAGCAACTGGAAAAAGTCCCCTCAGAATCCAAACTCCTCCGAAAATGGGGATGGGAAGCCTCAAAGAGGAGGGAAGCATGACATCTCCAGGTCACATTCAGAAAGCCCCTCCAGGCTCCCTAATCTTAACAGGAAAGGGACATGGAAGAGGGAAAACAGCAAACACTCATCCTCTCTCCCAAGGGTTGGCACCTGGAAGAGAACCGGCAGCTCCTCTTCCATCCTCTCTGCCTCCTCTGAGTCAAGTGAAAAGGGCAAAAGTGAGGATGAACGACAGCCACTGAGTCCATCCCAAAGGTCTCCACACGGCAAAGATGGAAACCCTTTAAAAGGAACATGGAGGAAGATAAAGGACAGTGAAATGTCTCAGTCAGAAGGCCATGATTCTTCCTCCATGGACTCAATGGACACCATGGCCATGGGGCACCAAATGAGCCCTGCAGTGTCCAAGACTGAGGATGTGTGGGTGAGGATTGAGGACTGTCCCATTAACAACCCGAGGTCTGGAAAATCCCCAACAGCAAACACACCTCCGGTAATTGACAGTGTTCTAGTCAAAATGCCCTCTGTTGATCTCTTGACAAGTGAAACCCATCCCAAACAGTCCACAAATGAAAGTGTAAATGCTCTTAGGCTAGGCTCAGAGACTAATTTAAACTTGTTTAGGAGCAGTGAGAGTATTGATAAGAAAGGGCCAGACCTCAACCCTCCTCAGAGTAACCCAAGCATCGTCCCAGAGGCCCATGAACTGTCTGTTGCTGAACGCACCCCTTTTAGCTCCTCCAACTCTAGCAAACACAGCTCACCGAGTGGGGCTGTGGCTGCCAGGGTCAGCCCTTTCAACTACACCCCTAGTTCCAGGAAGAGCAGTGCTGACAATGCCACACCACCACGACCATCACAGATACCCACGCCTGTCAGTGTCACCAACAGTGCAAAAAAGAGAGACTCTAAAGGAGAAAGTGCTGGAGAAAGTGGGTCCTACATTGTAACCTCAGTTTAAATCACTTGAGGCTAGATTACACACACACAGGATCTAGGGGAAATGTATTGAACATACCTAGTGACCTCTGTTGTAAATAATTATTAAAACAAACAATCAAAGCAAAGATAACAGGTTCATCACAATTTTTGGTGTAAAAAAACAAACATGTAAATAGTAGTGAGTCACTAGACTGTTATTGTAGTTGATGCCTAATTGATGGACCCTGCTTCTTTGCTGGTAGGAATGTGGCTGGGACACTGGTTATCAGGGAGAGGGGGAGACCTCTGAAGGATAATGTATGTGAGTTTGTACTGTACAGATTTTAATTATGTATTTAATTTAAACCCCTGTCAAGATCCTGAATCTTGTCTGACTTGACAAAGATAATCACTTAAAGTTGCATATTTGGGATGTTAAAACACTTAAAGATGGACTTTAATACTACATTAGATTTTTTTTTTGTATTATATGCCTGTACTTAGGTCAGAAAGAAAAGTAATTCTCATTTTTACTAATGCAAATGTATTATAAGCTTCCCTCCCTTGCATGTAAAATGCCCCGACGGTAAAGATGAACATTTATGTGGTCACATGACATGTTGGTAGCTGTAGTGTGAAGTTTTACACTATTTCATGTGTGCTCTGAAAGTAAAGGAATTAACCGCAAGTTAACCTTGACAACTTTTTCAAATGAGAAAATAGATTATATGAGAGTAGACCGATACATGGCTCTGCTGTTTGTTGTTTAATTGTTATCAGGTGAGTTGGTTGCTTTTTAACGAAGAGACTATCTCTAAAAATATTACTGTAGGGTTTTGGTGTTGGTTTATAAATTTTTTTAAAGCTAATTTTAGTTTACCCTGTAATCACTGTAATGCTAAAGCACATAATCAGAGGAGATTATGTACTATTTTGTTCTGGCCAAAAATTACACTGTTTGAAAGACTGTTGATGTTCTTTTTCTTCTCATGCAATACTACATTTGTGGTTGGATATTCAAAGAAAAAAAGTCAAATTCCAAATAAATCAACATAATAAACGTTAAAATGTTGGAGTGCAAAACTGGTGTCCAGTGTTACTGAACAATGGAAGTGCTGTGTGTCAATATTTGTTTGATTTATCATCTTGAAGAGATTTTGGTAGTGAATGGAACTTAAGATCTGCTTACAGTGAATGATGAACTCAAGTGTCCTTAGTGCAGCTATGTTTTGATATACAAGCCAAGGGAATATAACTATAGGCATTAATTCATAACACAACTACATACACATTTATTGAGTGTTGTACAAGTGCAATAACATAAAGGGGCAATCCGCAGTTGAAACGATGTAGTGGTCACCTCACCACTGTTTTGGTAAAAAGCTGGGGAATGGAGCTGGAGAAATGTAACCACTTAAATGGATGCAAGGTCTGACCAAGTTTTGAGGCTATACAGTGTTTGTTTACATGCATGTTGTTTACAAACACTGGAGAAAAAGCTTATTTCGGGTTCTGATGGTGTACGACAGTTGAACTAAGCTGATGAGGCATTTATAAGTTATATTCATCAAGAATCAATGGGATATCATTAATTAAAAAATGGATGTAGAAACTGGCGAATCCCCCTTTAATCAGCTCAATCATATCACAACCATCAAAGCACTTTCCATCAGTATTATTTCTGTTGACATTCTGCAGGCATTACATATTACATTTTAGATAGCTAGGTGGGACAACTACATATCTCAGTCATAAGTAACATTTTCCTAAAGGTAGCTATCAGCAACGTCTGAGCTAGTAAGGAGGAAAAAAAGTTGCGTTAGTTCACGAAAGGTATTTGGGGGGGGGGGGGGGAGTTCACTGGGCTGAGCGGGGTGGGTGGGCCAAGAGACCAGAGGTGGCTGAACGGAGTACTCGGATTGGGGTGTAGGGCTTGAGCATAGCCTGAAGGTAGGGAGGGGCAGTTCCTCTTGCTGCTCTGTAGGCTACCATGCTCTTGTAGTAGATGTGAGCTTCGACTGTAAGCCAGTGGAGTGTACGGAGGAGCAGGGTGACATGGGAGAACTTGGGAAGGTTCTCCCTGCAGAAATTATGAATTGATGTGTAGGTTGTGATGAAGGACCAAGTGAAGGACACTGCATCACCCATAAAGGTGTCACCTAGAAGGAAGCACTTTTTTGAGACCTCAGTTATTGGTTCATGTTTAGCAGGGCATTACTAGTTTGATCATTATAATCTGTTATTGCAATCTTTGGCCACTACCAGATATGACTCTGGCCACTAGCATTCTCATTGAGGATATCTGAAATACATCACTATTGTCTCTTTAAACGGAATTGTCCAATTACAGCAAGGATAAACTAACTTCTGGTGTGCCGACCAATCACAAAACTATGGATCAGCAAATTAAATCCCACCCCATTGTAAACAGGAAGCTGTCTCCAGCTAGCTAACTAGGAAGCTAATGCAAAGGGAGCCTGGTGCCTTCTCAAATCAAATGTTATTTACCACATGCGCCGAATACAACAGGTGTAGACATTACCGTGAAATGCGTAAAAAGATGGGGTGGGGGCAGTGCAAATAGTCCGGGTAGCCATGATTAGCTATTCAGGAGTCTTATGGCTTGGGGGTAGAAGCTGTTGAGAAGCCTTTTGGACCTAGACTTGGCGCTCCGGTACCGCTTGCCGTGCGGTAGCAGAAAGAACAGTCTATGACTAGGGTGGCTGGAGTCTTTGACAATTTTGAGGGCCTTCCTCTCACACTGCCTGGTATAGAGGTCCTGGATGGCAGGAAGCTTGGCCCCAGTGATGTATTGGGCCGTACGCACTACCCTCTGTAGTGCCTTGCGGTCGAGCAGTTGCCATACCAGGCGGTGAATATATATGGCCTCCCTACTGTTATTTTATTTTACTTCTGCTCTTTTTTTCCTCAACTTTTTTGTTGTTTTAATCTACTTTTTTATTAAAAATAAATGCACTGTTGGTTAAGGGCTGTAAGTAAGCATTTCACTGTAATGTCTGCACCTGTTGTATTCGGTGCATGTGGCCAATAAAATTTGATTTGATTTGATGCAACCAGTCAGGATGCTCTCGATGGTGCAGCTGTATAACTTTTTGAGGATCTGAGGACCCATGCCAAATCTTTTCAGTCTCCTGAGGGGGAATAGGCTTTGTCGTGCCTTCTTCACGACTGTCTTGGTGTGTTTGGACCATGATAGTTTGTTGGTGATGTGGACACCAAGGAACTTGAAGCTCTCAACCTGTTCCACTACAGCCCTGTCGATGAGAATGGGGGCGTGCTCAGTGCTCTTTTTTTTCCTGTAGTCCACAATCATCTCCTTTGTCTTGGTCACGTTGAGGGAGAGGTTGTTATCCTGGCACCACACGGCCAGGTCTCTGACCTCCTCCCTATAGGCTGTGTCATCGTTGTCGGTGATCAGGCCTACCACTGTTGTGTCGTCAGCAAATTTAATTATGGTGTTGGAGTCGTGCCTGGCCATGCAGTCATGGGTGAACAGGGAGTACAGGATGGGACTGAGCACCCGCCCCTGAGGGGCCCCCGTGTTGAGGATCAGCGTGGCAGATGTGTTGTTACCTACCCTTACCACCTGGGGGCGGCCCGTCAGGAAGTCAAGGATCCAGTTGCAGAGGGAGGTGTTTAATCCCAGGATCCTTAGTTTAGTGATGAGCTTTGAGGGCACTATGGTGTTGAACGCTGAGCTGTAGTCAATGAATAGCATTCTCACGTAGGTGTTCCTCTTGTCCAGGTGGAAAAGGGCAGTGTGGTGTGCAATAGAGATTGCATCATCTGTAAATCTGTTGGGGCGTTATGCAAATTTGAGTGGGTCTAGGGTTTCTGGGATAATGGTGTTGATGTGAGCCATGACCAGCCTTTCTGAGAAAATGTCTCCGCTAAGTGATAATCCATCTGAAAAAGAAAGGTAGGTAATATAAGATGCATATCTCTTGTTGTCCCATGAAATGTTTGTGAGTAGAAGTCCTACATGTGAACAGAAAAACAAGCTTAGAGAAGACAGTTATATTTGTGTTAGCTAGTTTGCTAAGTTAGCGTGCCAGCGAAAATGGCTAGGCAACATGAAAGTCAGTTGGGTAATCAAATCTAATTTTATTTGTCACATGCGCCGAATACAACAGGTCACCTTACAGTGAAATGCTTACTTACAAGCCCTTAACCAACAATGCAGTTTTAAGAAAAATAAGTGTTAAGTAAACAATAGATAAGTAAAAAATAAAAGCAGTAAAAATAAGTAGGGAGGCTATATACAGGGGGTACCGGTACAGAGTCAATGTGCAGGGACACCGGTTAGTCGAGGTAATATGTAGGTATAGTTAAAGTGACAATGCATAGATAATAAACAGAGAGTAGCAGCAGCGTAAAAGAGGGAGAGGAGAGGGGAGGGGAGGGGACAGACAATGTAAATAGTCCGGGTAGCCATTTGATTAGCTGTTCAGGAGTCTTGGGCTTGGGGGTAGAAGCTGTTAAGAAGCCTTTTGGACCTAGACTTGGCGCTCCGGTACCGCTTGCAGTAGCAGAGAGAACAGTCTATGACTAGGGTGTCTGGAGTCTTTGACAATTTTTGGCTAGCGATACTTTCTTCGTTGTTGCATATAAAAGCATATACATGTTAAGTACATCTTCTGCACATCTATCATTCCAGTGTTCATTCTAAATTGTAATTATTTTGCACTATGGCCTATTTATTGCCTTACCTTCATAACTTACTACATTTGCACACACTGTATATAGATTTTCTATTGTGTTATTGACTGTACGTTTTGTTTATCCCATATGTAACTCTGTGTTGTTGTTGTTGTTTTTATTGCACTGCTTTGCTTTATCTTGGCCAGGTCGCAGTTGTAAATAAGAACTTGTTCTCAACTGGCTTACCTGGTTAAATAAAGGTGAAATAAAAATAAAAATAAAAGTTGAAATGATATCGCGGTATTGTCAGTTTGCTAGCTAGATGGATTCGGTGTGCAACACTGTGTCAGTGCACTGAATCTAAATTGAATGAGTTGGTTTAACAGCTGGCCAGTTAGCTAGCCATCAAGCTAGACAGGCAATGTTGACAATGAATAGCTAGCACAAACGATGACGCCACTTTTGTATGGTAATGAGGAAACCTTCAAAATAAAAGCCCGCATTTCAAAACATTGCAATGTGGATAACTCATTCAAGAGATATTGCATTTTAATCAGTGGTCACTTCTATTGTGACAACAAGAAAATGCAATGAGTAAATTATAAAAAAAAAAAAATATATATATATATATATATATATATATATATATAAATATATATATATACATTTTCATACCAATAATGAAAAAGACCATGTTGACACTGGTATGTTGAGAATATTGGGCTGTAGAGAGAACTGTTCTACCTGTTTTCAGCTAAAGTGGGGTGGGAAATAATCAGTAGGGTCTCTACTAACCAAATATGTGTCGTTTTGGAGGGGGGTGGTGTCATACATACCCAGCAGCACTTTGTTCTCTGCCCCCTCTATAGCGCCCAATGCAATATACTGTAATAGACTGTACATGGGATACATATTGTCTTGAAGAGAGAACTTTTCTACCTGTCTCAGCTAAAGTAGGTTGGGAAATATGGTTAGTTTTGGACATATCCAGTAACACAGCTTTAAATGACCATGGTCCTGAAATCAGTACACACTCAACAAACAAACAAAAAGAAACACAAAAGCTAAACTTTTTTGCCAAAACGAAATCTAATTTATTTACAAGATAAATGTAATGCATATTAACCAGGCTATTAAGACACAGTATAATCCCACAT